GTGCCAGAATAATTTTCTCGAACAGCTTGCCCAGGATCGAGGTAAGGCTGACTGGCCTGTAGTTCCCCGGGTCCTCTTTCCTCCCCTTTTTGAAGATGGGAACCACGTTGGCCCTCTTCCAGTCCTCCGGCACCTCTCCAGAGCACCACGAGTGTTCATAAAGCCGTGCCAGGGGACTTGCAATGACCCCAGCGAGTTCCTTCAGGACTCTAGGGTGAAGATCATCTGGGCCGGCTGACTTAAAAATGTCCAGCCCCTCCAGAAGCTCCCTAACTAAATCCTCACTCACTCTAGGCCCAGGTGAGCCTCCCCCAGGGCCCAAAGGGGGACCAGCAGGGAGGTGGCAGTTCTGGTCCTTACTGAGGAAGACAGAGGCAAAGAAGTTATTAAATATGTTGGCTTTGTTGTCTGGCGTGACAACCAGATTCCCCGTCTTGTCCTGCAAGGGCCCCACATTTCCTGGGGCCTTCTTTCTACTCCCTATGTATTTAAAAAAGTTTAATTGTGGGTGCTAATAGCTTGAAATTTCTGGCCCCTATGTCTTCAGGTCATAGCTGGCCCATGAAAATGAAGCAAAAATTAATCAAGACCCATAAAAATGTACGGATTGGAAAGAGACACTGTGTTATTTCATAATATAGTTCATGAAAAAAGCTCAGTTGCCTTTCAGCTTCAGACAAAATTCTTTATTGCTCACAGCAGCAAAGATCACAATGTGCACAGAGTAGAATGAACACCAAGCGAGGTGACAAGCAAATTCCCCTTCCTTGTTAACATCTCAAGGGTAAGTAGGCACAGGCGGCTCCTCCGTAGGGTTCTGTGTTATTGAGTTCTGGCAAAACAGAGAATGGGGAGAAGGAACAATTGAAACCTTTGTGTCACTATATTTAAGCTGTGCATTTGGCAGGAATAATTTCCTCTGAGCTCCATTCAAATTTGGAGAGGAGTCACCTCTGCTGATCATCCTCAGTTGGGTGCCATGTTGGGATCTCTTGGGTGACACGTTAGAGAAAACTGGAGGTTGTTTTTTACGCAGCTGTTAAAAATCTTGTGTTTTCAGCTTTCTTTCTATGGCTTTTCTAAGTGTTGTATCCTTAAACATTTGACTTTACATAAGGATAGGCATCAACCCTATTGTTCTTGGCTATTCACTACCCACAGGTGTATGCTCCTGTAAAGGGCAGTGGACCCCAAGGGTTTGATTCAAAGCTCACTGAAGTCAAAGGGAAGGTTTTTTCCTTTCCCCAGATTCATAGAAAAAAAGAACTGGAAGGGCCCTCAGGAGGCCATCTAGTCCCATCCCCTGCTCAAGGCAGTGATCTCTGTCAAAACCATTCCAGAGAACTGTTTGACTTAGAAAAATTGCAAAGATGCAGATTCCACAACCTAGACTCTAGGTAACCTGCTCCAGTGCTTAACCACCCTCAAAGAGAAACATTTTCTTAATATCCAGCAGAAATATCCCTTGGTGTGGTGTAAGACCATTACTCCTTGTCCTGTCCTCTGTAGCTACAGAGAATAGTTTATTATTACCATCTGCTTTAAAAAAAAACCAAACAGTCACCCTCTTAGTGTTTGAAGACTGTTATCAAATTCCCTCTTCAGTCTTTGCTTCTTCAGACGAAATTATCCCAGCCTTTCCACTCCTCTCATAAGTCCTGTTTCACAGATACTTAAATCATTTCATTGCTATCAGTTGGATTCTTTCTAATTTGTCCATTTCTTTCTTGACATGAAGGGCCCAAAACTGGACATAGTACTCCAGGTCAGGCCTCACCAGTGCTGAATAGAGTGGAAGAAATCACTTCCCTTGACTTAGAAGACATTCCTGTTAATAAAAGCTAGGGTGTTCTTGAGTTTTTCTCTCTTTTATCTTTTTTTTCCGCAACAAGCACACACTATTGGATCATATTCTGCTTATGGTCCACCATTCTTGATGACTTACTCCATGATTTTTCCAGATACTGAGGTCAGACTGACTGGTCTGTAATTCCCTGGATCCTCTTGCTCTTTAAGATGGGCTCTATATTTGCCCTTTTCTACTTGTCTAGGATCTCACCCAACCTCCATGAATTCTCAAGCAGAATAACCAATGACTCTGAAATTACCTCACCCAAATCCATGAGTACTCTAGGATGCTTCCTGTCTGGCCCTGATGACTTGAAAACACCTACCTAAGTAATCTCTAATTTATTCTTTCCCTTTGCTAGGCTGCTGATCTCCCCCACACCCACCCATCCTTGCTGCCAACTGTGTTAGTCTAATAGCTGAAGTCTTTCATTAAGACTCAAGTAAAAAAGGCATGATATTTTTCAATATTCCCTACATCATCCCTGACTAGATTGCCCTCTGCATTCAGTAAGGGACCTATACTTTCCTTGGTCTTCCTCTTATTTTTGCCTTACATATAGAATGCTTTTTTGTTGCCTTTTATATCCCTTGCTAGCTGTTTCTCAAATTGATGCTTGGCCTTCCTGATTTTCTCCCTGCATGCCCATGTAATATTCATTCTTAGTAACATTGCCAAGTTTCCACTTTTGGTAGGATTCTTTTTTTGAGTGGAAGAGTTTGCTGTTTAGTTAAACTGATTTGCTGCATTTCCCAACCTTTCTTTGCATCAGCATAGCCTGCTCTTATACCCTTAATGTGGCTTCCCTAGATTACAATCATCTCTCCTGGACTCCTTTTCCCCTCAGGACTTGCCTTCCATAGGATTCTGCCTACCAGTTGCCTGAGTTTGTTGAAGTCTGCTTTTCTGAAGGCCACTGTCTTTATTCTGCTGCTTTCCTCCTCCTTTCCTTAGGCTATCATTTCATGGTCACTGTTGCCAAAGTTGCCTTTCACCTTCACATAGTTAACTAAATTCTCCGTCTGAGCAGCAAGCAGAGAAGAGCTTCCTTCTACTTTATACCAAAAAGTTATCCTCAACATACTCCAAAAATTTTCTGGCCTGCTTGTGCACTGCTGTATTACCTTCCCAGCAGATGTTATGATAACTGAAGTCTCCCATAAGCACCAAGTCCTGGTATCTGGATACTTCTGCTAGTTTGGAAAAAAAACTCATCAATCTCCACCCCATGGTTTGGTTGGTGATCTATAAACAGATGCTCACCCTAACATCATCCTTGCTGTCTTTCCATCTTATCTTGACCCAGAGACTTGCAGTATCCCTACCTCTTTGTACCATACCTTGGAACTAGTGCATGTCTCATACATAGAGAACAAGGCCACCTCCTTTCTCCTCCACCTGCCTTTTCCCCTACTCCTTAGAGTGGTTCTAACTCGTGCAGTGGCTCCCAGGCTGGTGTTGAATTTATGAGGCATGAACTCCCAGACTGGATCACACCCAGTTGAGCTACTGTCTTTGATAGGAGTGCCCTTTAGAGGAAGGTCTAAGGATACCGAAGCAGACAGAGATGGGATGTTAGAGCTCATTCTAATTTCTAACTATTAGAGCAGTGATGTCAAATTGTGGCCCATGTCTGATTTGGTCTATGGAGCTGTATCACGTGACCCATGAGGATGGTAGTAAAGCTAGGAACTTGGGGAAGGGACAAACAGGGGTAGGGCCTGCTACCAGAATCCAGGGCATGCTTGCCCCACTGGTAACATGTCAGTAACAGGGGGCAAGCAACAGTTATGTTAACTTGTGCCACTACTACTTGCCCTACTGTGGCTAGTAGTCCCCCTGCCAGATCTGGCCTGGGGGTGGGGTGACTTAGACACCTCTGCATTAGGAATGGACTTAGCTCTGAAACAGAAGGCTTAATATCTGCCATCATTGATGATGGTAACTTTGCATAGCCTTAATATTCCTTTAAGCATCTTGTCCCTTTTTGGAAAGGAACATATGACTGGGAAGGACTCTATAGACTTGAGTCCAATCCTTTGCTCTTGAGAGCACCAGATCATATATATCCCTTTCATAAAGTGATCAAGCTCTATCTTAAAAACCAGGGAGGCTTAAAAATCAGGTAGTGGGGACAACTGCTCTTGTGATCAAGAAGCTGTTCTACAACCTCACTGCTCTAAAGGTCAGGACATTTTTTTCTAATCTTCACTTTCCATTTATTCCTTCCCAGTTTATCCCCATTTTATTTCTGTGATAATATTATCCTTTTGCTCAAATCTCTCCACTTCCTTGCTGGAGTTTATCCCCAGCTCTGTTTTTCTAGACAGTGATCAGATGCCTCTTCCACTTGTGTTTTGCTGAGAAAAACAAGACAAGCTCTTTCAGTCTCCTCTTGTAAGACAGATTCTCCATTTTCCATGATCATCTGAGTCTCCTTTCTCTGTACCTGTCCCCTTTTGAGTTCCTGGTAAGTTCTTGGTCTCAATAACTTCCTATAGTAACCATTTAATCATACAATGTGTGAAAAAGTATTTCCTTTTATCAGTCTTGAATTTCCCACCTTCTGATTTCCTGGAACACCCCTAACTTTTGAGCTAAGAGGCAGGGAGACCAGATGTTCCCAATCTCTCTTCTCAAGGCCTGTCATTCTCCTGTCCCTCTTCTTAAGGTGGCACAAACATACCTTTGCAGGCACCACCTCTGGCTGTGCCCCCAAGCCTGGCACTCGGGTGGCACAGCTCAGCATCCCACCCTGAATATTAGGTTAAGAAATCTGAACTCTGTGGCTAGAGTAGCACAGTACTGTGTTGCAACTATTTGTACAAAGGCAAGAAAAAGAACTGAAAAGAAGCATTAAAAACCATGGGATTAGGAACAACAACTCCTCACCTTGGTCTGAGGGGATCAGCAGAAATCAGCCATGCCAATAACTCCTGGCTCAGAGCATCCTTTGGGACATCAGAATCTTCTGGAAAAGCAAAACTGTAACAAAGGCACTTCAGAGTTAAATTCAACTAAAGTTCAGTTTTCAACCAGCTGTTTCTACAACTTGCTCACAATGGCTTTCTGTTTGCTTCCTGTTGCAAATGTTTTTGCTCTGTTTCGGGCAACTAAAAGGCATCAGGTTGAAAGACCTGGAGAACAGAGCAAGACAAAGCAGATACAGCCTGGAATATCAACAGAGCAAGCCATTTCTCCCTCTGCCCACATGCCACAGTGCTTTTCTACAGTCTTGATTCTGTCTTCACCAGACAATTTTGTCATGTAGCACTTAGGATCAGCCCTCTTGTCTGCACAGAGGAGAGGTCTGGAAGTGAGAATATCACTTCCAACGTCAAATGGAAAAGACTTTGCCAGACTGGCAGTGATTGGCTTATAAGGGAGCAATGACAAGAGAATTTCATAGATTTCATAGATGTTAGGGTTAGTAGGGAAGGGACCTCGCAAGATCATCGGGTGCAGTCCCCCCACCAAAAGGGCAGGAAATCTGCTGGGGTCAAATGATCCCATCAAGATAATTATCCAAACATGCCTTGAAGGTGCTTGCACCATTTCTGTAGGGAGTCTGTTCCACACTTTAGGAACTCGGACAGTAAAGAAGTTTTTCCTTATGCCCACTCTAAAATGGTCTTCCTGGAGTTTGAGACCCTTAGATCTTGTCTTCCCTTTGGGTGCCCTTGTGAACAGATGTTCTCCCAGTTCCTGGTGGACACCCCTAATATATTTATAGGCTGCCACAAAGTCCCCGCTGAGCCTTTGCTTTTCCAGGCTGAAGAGTCCCATGTCTCTCAGCCTTTTCTCATAAGACTTGTTCTCTTGTCCTCTGATCATGTGTGTGGCTCTTCTTTCGACTCTCTCAAACTTCTCGACATCCTCCCTAAAGTGCAGAGACCAGAACTGGATGCAGTACCTCTTGTCTTTCACTTTCTCTAAATAAGAGCTAGATGCAATTTGAAGCCTTGGATCTCAGTGGGAAAGTTTGGACCCTGATTTGAATTGTGTACCTCTGGCTCTTGTATAAATTCATCTGTTCTCTGGCTGCAACTGCTTCATTTCTCCCCAAGCAGGAGCATATCATCTCGCTCCCCTCTCCAGCTACAACTATCTTATGCTACATTATTCTTTGTTAGCTGTATCACTCCATGCTCTAGATCTCTATAGTTTTGAAACCTCTTCCTTCTGCTCCCCAAACTCCTAGATAACTCCTAATCTGGACCAGAAGTAGCTAAACCCCCATGGATTCACGGTTCTCTATCTTTTCCAGTCTCTTTCCTCAAGGTACTGCTTTGAGTCTTGGTTATTGCAGCAGCCAAGGCAATTCTCCAATTGTTTCCTTCTTAATAGAAGCCCTTATGTTGATGTCTGAGCATCCCAGCAGAACTGTAAGCAGTGACAGGCAGTTTAAATTAAAGGGCATTTTGATCTTAATAACTGGCTTCCCTTTTGTGAAATAAAAGCTTCAGGAAAGAAGAGGGAATGAAGTGGACATCTCAATGGCTGGGGGTGTTCCTCCTGACTGTAACAAGAAAAGAAACATGAGCAATTTAACTCCTTTCCAGAATGACAAACCCTTTGCATTAACACAAAAATCAACTCTCCTCTTCGTAGTCCTGCTAGCAAATATGGGCAAGATTCTACTCCTCCTGTTAGGTGCAGAAGTGGACTTAGTGCCCAAGTATGATCCTATTCTATCCTGTTCAACCCCATGAAAAACAGTTAATGCAAAAGGTGGGTAGCTCCTCCTTCTCACTGCTTTTCTGTGAGTCTGGCTTAATGGTCTGACGGCAGTGGGTTACAAAGGTAGATGCATAAATAGATTTTTCAGGGGCTTGAACAGGGTGGAATAGGATCATAGTGAGGTGCCCAAGTCTACTTGGATGCCTAATTGATGGAATAGAATCTGGCGCAGCATCTGTATATAGACAGGATTTAAGGAGTTCCATGAACTCTGACACTCCAGAGCTTGATCCTTAAACTACTCCTTATAAATCGAGCACTACAGGTGGAATGAATTGACATTTGTGTTCAGAATTCACAAGTGGTGCTCTGTTTTTCAGCAGGGCTTTCGGTAGTGTCAGGTTTTTCTCACCAACCTGAACAAGAATCTAATTAGAGACATGGACAAATATTTTCCAATGTGACTAGTGACTCTGGGTTTCTTGGTGGCTGAGTGCTTGAGATGCCCCTGGGCTGGCTGGTGAGCTTGCAAAGTAGAGCCATAACCATACCCATTCTCCTCCATGTTCTCTTCCTTCCCAATTATTTGTTCATGACTCAAGGGCCACGTACAGCAAAGATGCTAGTAAACTTATAAGAGCAGTGTAATGAGTCTTTATTTCCCTGGGACACTACATTAGGGCTAGTTAAAATCTACCCTATTAGAGACCTTGTAAAAATCATCTTCTTACAATAATCATAACAATAATCATAATAACATTTACCACTATTATCAATATAAAATAAAATCACTGTCTCCATAATTTTTTTAAAAACACAAAAGTTTGTCATCGCTGGCCTTCTAAAATGTGAAACTGGCAATTGACAGACTATGCAACTAACTAGGTTGTTTTCATTGTCCAAGTTGACTGAAGTACAAAAAAGCCAATTAAAGGACATAAACCAGAAAAAGTTAGACATAAAAAGTCTTGTTAGATCAGCCAGGCAAATCCATTGTGTAATTCCATGGACACTAGATAGCATCCCTTTCTCTCATAATATTATTAGCTTTTATTAGTAAGCAAGAATTTGTATTTTATAGAGCTAGTTCAAAAATAACAAAACAAAACAAAACAAAAAACCCCAAAAAACCAGCGGAATGTTTTCCCCAACAGAAGATGATAATCTGATTAAATCAGAACATTTTTTCAGGAATTGTTGCATCAGTTTTATTTAGAAAAAATTGAAACATTTCATTCTGATAAAATCAAAATGTTTTACTCTGATAAAGCTGAAGTGCCTCTTTTAAACTTGTTTCAACTACTGTTATCTTATGCCACACTGCCCTGTATTATAAAAATGAACCTTATTAGAATGAATATTTCAATTAGGGCTTTTTGTTATTTCTAAAATCGTTTTTGCAGGATTTGTTTAATGGGAAATTTCAGAATGTCAGGGATTAAAGTTCAAGATTAAAGAAAATAATGAAAGATGGAGTTTCATGTAGAATAGAAATTCCAGGTTTTGACCAGGTCTAATTTTTAATGCTGCTTTATCATCTGGAAGGGGTGCTTCAAGAGACTCAAGCACAGGGATCTTGCCCTTCAATTGGGAGACTCTTCCACAATTCAATAGCTCTTTACATTGTATATCTTACCTCTGCTTTCTTTTGTTTTTTAGAAGCCAGACAAAGAAGTCCTTAGCTTGCTGGGAGCCCAGCTCCAAGCCATAGCTGTTTATTTGGGGTTCAGCTTCCCTCTTGTAGGGATCAATTGCGTTACTGAAAAAGGCAAAATTCACAGGAAGTGACCATGGGACTCCACTAGGGGGAGCTAAAATGCTTCTCTTTCCTAAGATCTGACTCCCTTCCACTGCATCCCCCATGCCACCTACCAGCAGTACTACAGCCTCATATAAGCAGCTTTGGGTACTGACAGCGGTAAGACTCTTGCTGTCTGGCCACTGGATAGAGACACTTCCTGGCATTCACAAAATAAGCCCGTGGATTATCACTGCTGTCTATCCCAGCCTCTACATCATCTATAGGTTTCAGTAGCCTCAAGCTTGGTTAATAGAAGCATGAAAAAGTCTACACACTCACTCATTTTTCATCTCTCTCCTGGCCAGCAACCATTCCACAAAGTTCTTCTTGATCATGTTGTCTATGGTGCGGCTATAATCGCTAGCCAAAATGGCCTCAGAATAACGTCTCTGCAAAACTCTGCTGCTGGGACTCTTCATGTTTCCACTGGGAAAAAGAAGGGAGATGGAGTTAGCAATGGACAGAGAGAGAGAGAGAGAGAGAGAATGTTTCAAAGGCTCTTGCTTGTCATTTGAGGTGGCTGCCCCATTTGGTCACTGTCATTAGAGGTATTTCATGATCTGGTTCAATAACTTGATAGGCACAAGGTGCTTAGTGGCTGCCTTGTTCCTTCTTTCCTTCCCTCTCACCAGGATACAGTAACTTATATGGGATTCATACATATTGGGGGAGAGGAGGCACTATCACAATCTTAAAGAGGTCGGGGGCTACATACATTATACTCACCCACTTTTTGTAACTGCTCTATAGTTTCAAAGTGTCAGATTGTTGAATTCCTATTAGCTTCTCATCCAGAGGAAGGAAATCTCCATTTTGTTCCTGACCAGCCTCTGTTCTCTTCCTGGTTCACTTGCAGCTCATTCCCCCCAGACCAGTGCAATGAGATTTGTAGTGAGGTCTCAATACTTGGCTACCATCTCTAGTCTGGCATCCCCCCTTACAGCTGATATGTACAAGCTCTCATTGACACTCTTATCTCAGGTGTATTGGAAGACTATGAATCTGACGTGGAAGTGATATGTCCAGAGAAGTCAATGAAACTCTCCTTGATCTCGGGGAGGAGCTGGAACAGTGTACTGAAAACACTTACCTGGTGCGGTTCTCCTCTGTCAGAACGAGGCTCAGAGAGGCAAGGAAGAGGGGGAGAACTTTCAAGGCCAGCATTTTCCTGACTTGTTTTCTCTAATCAAAGACAGAAAGCAACACAGAAGGCTAATTCTTTTCATGCACAGGAGGAAGGAAGTAGCATGACAACAGGAATAGTGGGCCAAAAGGTGAAGTGGGTTTGTGCACATGTATGTATGTGACTGTCACACAAGTATCCATGTCTCTGCTTTTCCCCTTTTGAGGTATGGGGTGATCCCTACCACTTTTGCTTCCAGGAGTTTTGCTTTTAATGCTGATTCCCTCCCTAGGGCTGACAGTAATACACTTCTTTCATTCACAATATGACCATCTTATTCACTGAAGAGTGCAAATCCCTGGAGGCACATATACTGGCTTTCTGCAGATTAGCAAAAGGGTTCCGTACACATAGGCAGATTAATGCATGAGCCAACTGGGCCCAGGCCCAGGGGCCCATGCTTGGTGCAGATGAAACCAGTGACCACAAAGGGCAGCAGGCCATGGCTGCCAGGTGCTGTTTGCTGGGTGCCACTTCAACCAGACTGAGCCACTGAAGGGCGAGGGACCAACCCTGGAGCTCGGCCTGCGCTACATGTGCCTGGCCAGGAGCGGCTCCTCACCCCAGTGCAGCTGCGGGGGCAGGGTGAGCGTTGAGGCTCCTGAGACAGGGGGATACAGGGGGAGGGTGGGCCCGGGGCTCCAACGAATCTTAATCCATCCCTATCTGTACACCTTCAACGCTTTAGGACTGATCCATGTCTCAGTGAAGCAGTGGGAGTATTTCTGTTGCCTTCAGTAATTCTGGATCAGGCACTTATAATGGTATCTTGACCGGGCCAGTCCAAGGGTAATCGGCGCCTTAGGCAAACTGTGTCCCTCAGCTCCCCCACCACTTCCAATATATCTTTAAGGATGACGTTGCCAGCGGTATGCTCTTGTCATAAGCCCGCTTGAGCATTGAAAAGGTAGGAGTCACGAGGGGAGTATGAGAGAGCCGTGAGGTGCACTTAAAGCCATGTCCAATCCCTTGATGTAGCTGTGTGGAGGTAACCAGGAGCTGTAGCTGTGATGGTGGTTGATTCTAGCAATCTTTCCTCAGAGATCTTTTCAGAGGTCTTTCTCCCCTTACTAAACCAAAGGTCTTAGTCCAAGGTGCAGCCATCGCCATCCAGGGCTGTTATTTAAAATGATGCTCCTGTTATTTTGTTCTGCGTATAATTTTGGCACCCTCCAAATTCTGGCACCCTAGGCGACCACCTAATTCGCCTAATGGTTGGACCGGCCCTGTATCTCGATATCCACATAACACTTCTGCAGAGATTAAGAACCTGATCTGATTTCTGTTTAAGTCAATGGAATGTTTTTATTGAGTATGATCAGACTTTAAATAAGGACATGAGCCAAACTTCATTGAAGTTAGTGGAGAGGCTTCATTACTCAGCCTCCAACAGATTACTCCATTAATGGGATCCAGCTCTGGATCCTTCCCCAAGATGTTTTCACCTTAGATTGCTTTTCTAGGTCATGTGACCTTGTCCCTATTTGAATTCACTACCCCTCACACACTGGACCCCTTTAAATGACTCACTTAGTTCTGCAAACACTTTCCCAGAACATTCTTGCTTTTTCACTATACAGACAACCAAACACATTCCAAAATAGATTTGGTTGTACAATATTTCATTTTCTTTTTAAATATTTTTAGAATATTTGCAATGCTGAGTTTTCATATCAACAGCCACAGTAGTAAGAAAGACAAAATAAATATCAGGATGGAAAAGGTATGTCAGGATTTAGTTGCTTAGTCCTGCAATCATTTATGCATGGGCATATCTTTACTCCATAAGTACAATGACTCACTATTCTTATTCTTATATTTTCACAAGATTAGAGGCTTCACTGTGGTTTACAAAAATGTGGAAATCAAAGATGCTTTTTAGATGTTTTTGTAATTCACACAGTATTCACTTCTAGGAAATCAGGACATCTAAAAATATTTCTTGCAGTCCTTCTAGTAAGAAATATATTTGATGCAAGACCTCTGCATTTATCACCATCAACTTAGCAACATTTAAATCAAAGGTGTTGTGCTCACTGAAGATGGACAACCACCCTAAAATGTTTGCATCCAAAACAGTACGGCAAATAAGGATGTGCTAGCTTCAGAAGAAAGTTTAATTTGCAATCAAGGTGCTGGGAGAGGGGACATTTAGTGCATCCATCAGGACTCAACAGGCTTCTAAAGACACTCTGAAGATTCCTCCACATTTGACAGAGCCTCCAAAACCCCATCCTCGATTTTTAGTCCTATTTTAACCCTACTCTTTACCA